TAGTGCTGTTTCTTCCACATTTTACTGGGTCTAACATTGCTTTTGAGATCAGCCAAAAGTACTGCCACACCCTATGTAGAAAATGTGTACTACTAGAAGTAGCATTAATTGACAATTATGTTGGGAAATTCCCTTACTGAATTTACTTTTTAGGGAAGCATAACTTGTTCTACTTGAATTAGGAATTACAAATCTTTTTTTAGTAGACAATTGAGAAGCACTACTTAACTATTGGCAATAAAGACAAGCACTTAATTGACTATGGCTCATCCTCCAAAAGCTGAACAGCATTCGACCTAGTTAGTGTATGGGTGAGAAATCACCAGGAACTAAGACTGTAAGATAGACTGAATGGTTGAAAAAATATACATGACATTGACAAGCCATTTCTATGCTACTCACAAATGTAGACTTGTCCATGTTGCTTCCAAAAACTGAACTGAAGTGTTAATTCCTGTTTGCTTGATACAGAATACAGAATAACAGAGTTGGAAGGGACCTTGGAGGTCTTCTTGTCCAACCCCCTGCCTAGCAGGAAACTCTACACCACTTCAGACAAATGGTTATCCAATATCTTCTTTAAAACTTCCAGTGTTGGAGCATTCACAACTTCTGGGGGCAAGTTGTTCCATTGATTAATTGTTCTAACTGTCAGGAAATTTCTCCTAGGTTGCTTCTCTCCTTGATTAGTTTCCACCCATTGCTTCTTGTCCTGCCCTTAGGTGCTTTGGAGAATAGCTTGACTCCCTCTTCTTTGTGGCAACCCCTGAGATATTGGAACACTGCTATCATGTCTCCCCTAGTCCTTCTTTTCATTAAACTAGACATACCCATTTCCTGCAACTGTTCTTCATATAGTTTAGCCTCCAGTCCCCTAATCATCTTTGTTGCTCTTCTCTGCACTTTTATTTATTTATTTTATTTATTTGTTTAAATTTCTATACCGCCCTTCTCCAATATAGGACTCAGGGCGGTGAACAGCCAAAGTAAAAACAAGACATACATACAAAACATACAAAATCTAAAAACTGATTAAAATAATTAAATATCTTGGCCGTAATTAAAACTGTTCCAATTTAAAATCAATTTAAAATTTGACTCAAGCCAGCCCAGCTAGTTGAAATAAATTTTCTAGAGTCTCCACATCTTTTTTACATCGTGACGACCAAAACTGGATGCAGTATTCCAAGTGAGGCCTTACCAAGGCATTATAAAGTGGTATTAACATTTCATATGATCTTGATTATATCCCTCTTTTTATGCAGCCTAGAACTGTGTTGGCTTTTTTGGCAGCTGCTGCACACTACTGGCTCATATTTAAATAGTTGTCTACTAGGACTCCTACATCCCTCTCACAGTTACTACTATTGAGCAAGGTACCACATACACTGTACCTGTGCATTTTGTTTTTCTTGCCTAAATGTAGAACCTTACTTTTTTCATCATTGAATTTCATTTTGTTAGATAGCGCCCAATGTTCAAGATTGTCAAGATCTTTCTGTCTCTTAAGCCTATTTTCGGAGTGTTGGCTATTCCTGCTAGCTTGGTGTCATCTGCAATTTTGATGAGTTCCCCATCTATCCCCTCGTCCAAATCATTGCTGAAGATGTTGAAGAGTACTGGGCCTAAAACAGAGCCTTGTGGTACCCCATTGTATACTTCCCTCCATGTAGATGCAGTTCCATTGAGGACTACATGTTGAGTGTGGTTGGTCAGCCAGTTACGAATCCATCTGGTGGTGATGCTGTCTAACCCACATTTTTCTACTTTATCTAGTAGTAGGTTATGATCTACTTTATCAAATGCCTTACTGAAGTCCAAGTAAATTATATCGACAACACTCCTCTGGTCCACTAATCTTGTCACTTTGTCAAAGAATGCAATAAGATTAGTCTGGCATGCTCTGTTTTGACAAACCCATGTTGGCTTTTGGTTATTACTTTGTTTGCTTCTAGGTGTTCAGTGATTCATTGCTTGATTATCTTTTCCAGAATCTTCCCTGGTATTGAGGTCAGGCTGATAGATCTGTAGTTTCCTGGATCTGTTTTTTTCCCCCTTTTTGAAGATGGGAACAACATAAGCTCTTTTCCAGTCCTCTAGCAGTTCCCTGTGCTCCAGGATCTTTGAAAGATATAGTTCAATGGTTCTGAGATCTTGTCTGCTAGTTCCTTCAGAACCTTGGGGTGTAGTCCATCTGGTCCTGGTGATTTGAACTTGTCTAAAGTAGACAGGTACTCACCATTTTCTTCCCTATTTTACCTTGTGTTCCTAATCTGTTTTTTGTGGTGCTGTTTTTGATAGGTTGGACTGTTTTTTCCCTTTGTGTAAAGACAGATGCAAAAAACGAGTTAAGTAGTTCTGCTTTCTCCCTATTGTTTGTCACCTTCTTGCCACTTTCTCCCAGCAATGGACCAATTGTTTCCTTGACTTTCTTGTTTTTAACATGTTGGAAGAAGCTTTTTTTGTATATTTTTATATTTATCGCAAGCAGGGGTGGGTTCTAAAATTTTTTACTACCGGTTCTGTGGGCGTGGCTTATTTTGTGGGCATGGCTTGGTGGAGGGTAATGTGACAGTGAGCGTGGCCAACTTTTTTTTTTTTACTTTTAAAAGCATTTTTTCTACAACCTTAAGAGGTTGTAAAAATGCTTTTAAAAGCCTCTGACAATCAGGCAACTCAGCTGGGATCACCAGAGGCTTTTAAAGGCGTTTTTTTCCTACAACCTCTTCGGCTGAAGAGGTTGTAGAAAAAATGCTTTTAAAAGCCTCTGATGATCCCAGCTGAACCGCATGATCATCAGAGGCTTTTTTTTAAACTTTTAAAAGCATTTTTTCGGCCGAAAAGGTTGTAGAAAAAATGCTTTAAAAATTTTTTTTTTAAAAAAAGCCTCTGATGAGGTGGGCGGGGTAAGCGAGCTGCAACCGGGCCGGGGACCGGTTTGGGGGCATGGCCAACCAATGTTATTACCGGTTCTCCGAACTACTACAAATTTTTACTACCAGTTCTTGCGAACCAGGAGCAACCCACCACTGGTCGCAAGCCTTTGTTCATTGTGAGCCTTAGTTTTCCTCACTTCATCTTTGCAGGCTCGGGCTATTTGCTAATATTCTGCCTTAGTTATGTGCCCCTCTTTTCACTTTTTATACTTGTCCTTTTTGTCTTTCAATTTGTTGGAGAGTTCTTTATGCAGCCATGCTGGTTTCTTTTGAGAGCTGTTATTTTTCTTCTTCATTAGTATTGTGCTAAACAGGGCTTTTATAATCGCACTTTTCAAAATTTCCCAAGTTTCTTGAGTTGTTTTCCCCTTGAGGATTCTCATCCATGGAATCCTTTCCAAGCTCTCTCTAAGTTTATTGAAATTAGCTCTCTTAAAGTCCAAGACTCTAGTTTGACTTTGTTCTACTGCTTGTTCTTGCATAATGTTGAATTCCAATATTGCGTGATCTCGTCCCCAAGATTCCTGTAGTTTCAACACCTCCTATCATTTCATCTCTGTTAGTGAGAATTAAGTCCAATATGGCTGATCCCCTTGTTCCCTTCTCTACTTTTTGAGAAACAAAGTTGTCTGCTAGGTTTGTCAGGAACCTGTTGGATCTTCCACTTGGTACAGAGTATGTCTCCCAGTTGATGTCAGGGTAGTTAAAATCCCCCATTACTATTGTGATGTGCTTCTTACATACCTTAGTTAGCTGACTAGCAAAAAGTTCATCTACTTCCTCTGTTTGGTTGGGTGGCCTATAGTATACACCTATGGCAATGTCATTTTTTCCCCTTTAATATTGACCCAAATGCATTCAAGATAATTTTCGTCATTGTTGTGTTCTATTTTTGTAGAGATGTAGTTATTTCTTATATATAGTGCAACTCCACCTCCTTTTTTATTTGGTCTAGTTCTTTTAAATAATTTGTATCCTTCTAGCTGCATGTTCCATTTGTGGGTTCATCCTACCAAGTGTCTGTAATGGCTACAATATCATATAAGCCCTCATTTACTTGAATTTCTAATTCACCCTATTTATTTCTCATACTCTGCATTGGTGTATAGACATTTGAGTCCATTTTGATTGACTCTGTGTTTACTGTCTACATAACCTGCGTTGTGCCTGACTGCCCCTACTTTCTTGCCACCTGTTTGATTAGTGCACATGGCACTCACTATTAAATGATTGGTTTTGCTTAACAGCAAGGTTGATAATCTTACCTGCACAAACATCTATGTTACATGCACTGATAACTGTATTAATTTTAGATTGCTGGGGACAGAAATGTTCTGTATCAATTCATTCTCTGTCCCTGCTCTTCAGTTTAAATGTTTATCAGGAAAATCTGTGAATTTAATGCCAAGTAACTCAGTCCCTTTCTTTGATGTATTCAAATCATCTCTTGTACAGTTTTTCATTGGACCAGTTGCAGACATCATGACTAATAAAACCAAAGCTTTCCCTTTTACACCACTCCTTTAGCCACACATTAAACTCCATTACATGTTGGCCTTTCCCTTTTTGTTCCTTATATACTGGTAAAACCTCTGAAAAGATAAGCCTACAATCTATACTACTGAGTTCTTTCTTAGTAGTTCTTGATCATTCAGTTCTTTATAACTCTTTGCATACAATGAGTTAGTGCAACATCGGAAGAAGTGGAAAGACCCAGCTCATGGAATTGCCAAGAGTCAGACACAACTGAATGGATATTATCATCCTACAGTATCATACAGTGGGCAAACATTTTCCAGGTTTGTCTGTCACTATCTGCTTTTCTGAATATTTGTGAGCTCATGCTCATGATAGTAATGATAATGTCTAGCCACCTTTTCATTTGCTGGCTTCTTTCTAAACTGCTTTTAATTTTTCCAAACATCAGAGTCTAGTCCAAAAATTCTTGCTTCTGTATTCTGAATCAAAAAAAGTTTCACTATCCACTTGTACTATATATTCTAATCTAATCATTCTAATGAATGATTTATTCATCATGCTATTGAAAAAAAATCCACTCAGCAGTTTTCTCCAGCACCTCTGTACAAAGGCATCAATTTGTATTTTTTCAGATTTCAGGTTTATAACAAATTTTACAAATCTTTACAAATCATTGCTGTCAGTATGGTTTTTGAGTACATTTCTAATAGTCTCTCTCTCTCCAAAAAGCAGAGGTCATTCTGTTTCATGATTACAGTCTCCATTGCAGCATTTTTTGCATCCAGGAAGATAAAGACTGCTATTTCTCCCATCACTTCTTCAGATATTTGCACTGGACTGACAATAATAGCTAACTTTGTTTTTCTTCAGATCACTCTTAAAACTGCCTGGATAAGCTCTTGTTGTCAATGACTGTACCACATCTTTTTTGATGTAGCATTTTCAGGCCACTAATTCCTTTTATGGCAGTCATAGAATGGATCCTACTTGATAAAAGTGTCCACGAAAGAGACCTAAAACAAGATTGATGGATGACATTAGCAAGTATTGTGGGCCCAATTGGCAAAAGAAAGCTCAGGATAATATTGGTTGGAAACATGCAGAAGAAGCCTTCATCCTGCAGTGGATAGACAATGGCTAAAATGATGATGTTCAATAGCAATAACACTTAGACTTATATACCACTTCACAGTGCTTTACAACCCTCTCTAAGTGGTTTACAGAGTCAGCGTATTGCTCCCAACAGTCTGGGTCCTCATTTTACCGACCTAGGAAAGAGAAGGCTTGAGCCCATTCAGGATCGAACTCCTGGCAGTCAGCAAAATTAGCCTGCAATATATTGCATTCTAACCACTGCGCCATCAGTGAATCCCTCTTATATGTATGCCCTTCATTTTTTCTCACTTATTTTTCTCCATGTTAAATGACATCCTATTTATAGGAGCCTAATCTTCCAACCTGTCCAGAATTGATTGCAATATTGCTATCTGATCCTAGGTTTTGGCCAGATCTCCCAATTTTCTGTAAAGTATGATAAGCAGCCCATCAGACCCATCATCCAGATCTCAGAAGAAGCATAAAAATAAATATTCTGCAGTAAAGCCATTTATACTCACTCTCTGAGTGCTATTAGCCAGCTAGTTGTGGACCCAACTTATTGTGGTGCATTCTAAACCACATCTTACCTGTTTTATCTACTTTACAGCTTATTAATTATAACATCATGGTGTAGAGGACCAATGGTATGACCTGGAGGGAAATGGACAAAAATCAAGAAATAAACAAGACTGAAACATTCCTTTAAGACCTTGGAAACTTGGTAGTATTTAGGATAGATTTAAGCAGGGTCCTCCCTAATTAACTGGATTTTAAGAGGGAAGGGAGGTAAAGCACAATCAGACTTGCCACATTCTGTTGTAACCTACGTCAAAAAAGTAGTTTTATTCTTCCTATAGAATCTTCTTGATCTGACACGCTTGAAATCTTATTACAAATTCCCTGAAATCAAGGTAAATTATATCCAGAGCATTATGGCTATCTGCTAGAATAATTACGCTGTCAAAGAAGGAGACAAGATTTTTTACAAAGCCATATTACTAGGGCAAGGGACGGAAGGATAAATACAAGATGAAATTTTATTAGTAAGAAACAAAACTAAAAAAAAAAATCCTTTTAGTTTTAAATATTCAAATGAAGGAAATCTGTTGAAAAACAACATTTACTGTGCAGTTCTAATCTGAAGATCGAACAATTGCAAATGAACAAGAAAACAAGTTCCAAAAAAATATGTAAAAGTAAATGCTAAAAATCAGCAGACCATAAAATGGAGCTTTTCTATTACAAATAAGAGGAAACTGGTTTTAGGAGATCAGTAGCACAGAGTTCTTGAATATTTTGTTCAAACTGTTAGAAACAATATATGCAGAAAAAATTAAAATGTTTGCAGTATACACAAAAGACAAAAATTAAATTTTGTTCAATTCTAATGTGACAGAAGCAGCTTATTTCTCAGTTGCACTGACTTAGGGTGATTATAGTACAGCTAAAGACTGATCCTAGTCATCAGTGATAGTGATAAGACTGTCATGCCAGTACTGCAGAATTAATTTTATGGTATTGCAAAACCATTTTCAGCACTGTGGCAGACATTTAGCAAGCAGTTATGTGTGACATGATTGCTACATACCATATTAAATTGTGACTCATAAAGAATGGTTTAATCATTAAGTGTATGGCTTCCAACTTTGTATTCAAATGGTGTAGATGATTTTGACAACAAAGAAAATGCATAATGATACAGGGATTATATGGTTGGACAGTGCAGTGATTTACAGATTGATGTCACCCTTTGGGGGAAATAATTTTAAAATAAAATAAATTCTGATAACTTGCATATGATTTTGGGGGGAATGGATCATTTTTCTCCATTTGAGATAACTTAATATTAGCAAGGGACGGGGTGGCTAAGATGCTGAGCTTGTCGATCAAAAGGTCGGCAGTTCAGCTGTTTGAATCCCTAGTGTCATGTAACAGGGTGAGCTCCCGTTACTTGTCCCAGCTTCTGCCAACCTAGCAATTCGAAAGCACGTAAAAAATGTAAATAGAAAAAGAGGGACCACCTTTGGTGGGAAGGTAACAGTGTTCCGTGCATCTTTGGTGTTTAGTCATGCCAGCCACATGACCACAGAGATGTCTTTGGACAGTGCTGGCTCTTCAGCTTTGAAACAGAGATGAGCACCACCCTCTAGAGTCGGGAATGACTAGCACATATGTGCAAGGGGAACCTTTACCTTTACCTAATATTAGCAAACTATTTTTCCTGTACCACTTGAGTTTGGTTCTTTTCAGTGCATGTCAGATGACAGTTGACCAGGATGAAAAGAGGGAAGAGAAAAGAAGGCAATTGGCAAAAAGGAAAAAAAAACTCTAATGTATAAAATACTCAGGCTTACTTTGTTGTTATACCTTGATAAAGAGAAACAGCTTATCCTGTATACTTGTTTACATTACATTACATCTAATCAGTGGTGGGTTGCCCCCGGTTCGCACCAGTTCTATAGAACCGGTAGAAAAACCGGCGAGAGGCTCCGCCCACTGCCCCTGACATCATCAAAATGCTTCTGAGCATGCGCAGAAGTTGGCCAAGGAATCCACAGTAAAAGAAATGCAAGAAAATGGGAAGTTGTGAGAAATTATGATCAATTATGACCAAAAGGAGCCAAAGAAGGCTTATATTGTAGTTTCATTTGGAGGCCAGTGGTTGACAAGAAACCAGAACCATGAAATGAAGTGCTACAAAAATAGAAAACAATTTTATTCATATCCACTTTTTAAATGACAGTAAGAGTATGTGTGATTTTGGCTAAAAAAACGGGGTGGATGATTGTTGCAGATGCTACTTGTCAGTTACACTTTCTGAACTAATGGATAGAAAATGCACTGTTCCTAAAGATTAGGAAGCAAAGATCCTTTTAAATTATCAGTGGAAAGAGTATTGGGTTAATTTAAGACTAGAAAGAGGTCTATTTTCAATAGGTATATGGAACATCAATCTGTTACCATTTTATTAATGAAACATGATTCTTAATATAGGTTAGAAGAATTTGGAAGAAGAAACAGGAAACCTAGTTTTTACTACAAAAAAGCATGCAGTTAACAACAATTAAATAGAAGCATTAGTAAATGTTTCAGGTGAATCAATAGAAAAATAGCAAATGGTCACTTCTGTTAAGAAAGTATTCCAAAAGTATCTTTGAAAAAGATGCAGTTTTCAGTTAAAGATGAAGACTGAACTTTCCTGATTTTTTAATTGTATCATTATGCACATATTTTTATGAACAGCATATTTTAGACAGCTTGGTTTAATATGAATTTTCCTTCTGGGGCCTTTTCCCATATAATGCCTATATTTAAGTTGACTGTTCTGAGTTTAAGAAATTATATAACATCTCTCTTCTGCCATCTCCCAGAACAAATCTGTCACAGCAGTTAAAAACAAGTTGGCAATATGGCAAGGAATAAATTAACATACAATGAAATATTAGGATCAATATGAGTAATGGCACAATGTTAAATTTGCATAAATGTGAAGTAATATGAGTTCTGTTACAATACAACATATTTTCAGAGGATTGTCCCAATAGGTTTACCAGAATTCCAAGTAATTCAAGAGCTAGTAATGTACCATATCATGAGAGGTACTAATCATCAGTATGCAAAAGCCCACTCGACAAAGGACATAGCTTATACTTGTATATATCAAGGCCAGTAACATAAAGCTCTATAGATATACAAGAAGTTCATAAAATAAAGCTCTTTGCATAGATAAAAATGACCAACATTATACAATATATGCAGGTCTTGTGAGTTGTGTAGAATCCCTACCAATAATAAATTGATATACTTTTCAATTCAATCCCTAAAGGAAAAAGCAATCCAAACGTCCAGACAAAAATTTCACATTGAAAGTACAATTCAATTTCCTCAATTTATTTACAAAAATTGATTTTGGAGATAGACTTAATCAAGAATGCACATACAATTTCGACTAAGTCATAATCCTGTAAGCACCCACATCCAAATTCCATTAAACTTATTATTCTACATTTGCCGTATCTTCATGCCACTATAAATTTATTATGTCAGCATATTTTTATATTCTAGTGACCTAAAAAAATTATTTAATAGTAATCTTCATACAGCAGTTCCAATTCAAGGACAGAACTGAACTATAACAGTGCAGTATTTTGAAGCACATATTTTTTCAAGAATAAGTTCACTGACTTGAAAAAAGGCTCAAAGAAAACAAGTAAATTATTATCAAACCCCCCCCCAAAAAAAAGATTATGGAAGGAGAAATAGGTCAATAGAGATTTGATTCAATTTAATTTAAAAATGAAAGAAAAGCAAAAGTGAAACACTTTTGTAAAGTAATAATTTAATCCCTGAAACTATACAGAAAGCATAGTAGAAGAATAGCATACTATGCAAGTGAAAATGGAAAATGATGGAAGAGAAAATCTGATTTACAAAACATGGCTATTAAAGTTCACTGTCAATCTTGGAGATCAGAATGGAAGGAACCGCTGGATGTTATGCAATGTAGTGGGTGATCCTAAAATATCCAGAAATGTAAGAATTAGTTTAGGGGCTAGAAGAACAACCTTTTATTTCTATTTCTTAAAACAACTTAAATGCCAGTCAAGATGGACAGGTGTTGAATACAATTTTTATTCACCTTATCAAAATGATTACATAATCCAGAAACTCATACAGGAAATAATTATTTCGATTATTTTAAATAACAGTAATAAGAAAGTTTTTAAAGAATACAATATAATACTTTATTTGGCCAAGTGTGATTAGATTTATTAGCAATAAATTTAGTAATTAGTAATAAGTTTAGTAATTAGTAATAAAAGTAGAAATATTATATATTATGTCTTGATTCCTAGCGTTCTAAATATGTGAATGTTGATAATTTAATCTGTTATTTTTTTATTTCAGTTTATCTGTCATGATCTTTGTAGAATTAGTACATCAATGTATTCTTATTTTAATATATTAGTATACTGTACCCATACTACACAGAAGTTGTCAATGTTTTATTAATTTCATGACACACAGACCATCTTTTTTTCCACTAATGCTACATAATCCATAAACTCCTTAACCAGCTATTTAATTAAGGTTCTAGGGTTTACTTCTGCAATTGAGATTTGTGTGTGTGTGTGTGTGTGTGTGTGTGTGTGTGTGTGAGAGAGAGAGAGAGAGAGAGAGAGATAGATTAGTTAAATTGTTAGCAATTTAGTATTTACCAGTGGTGAAATCCAATGTTTTTTACTACCAGTTCTGTGGGCATGGCTTAGTGAGTAGGTGTGGCTTGGTGAATGTGGCTTGGTGGGCATGCAAAATCTCCATTCCCTCCCCACTCTGGGGCCAGCCAGAGGTGGTATTTGCCGGTTCTCCGAACTACTCAAAAGTTCCACTACCAGTTCTCCAGAACCTGTCAGAACCTGCTGGATTTCACCCCTGGTATTTACTGATTTAGTGTCCATTGTTAGATCTGAAGGTGATAAAAAAGTAACTATGACTGCATTTATAACCTTTGCAAGTCTGCAAAGGAAAGGAAACCTGAAGTAAGATCATAAGCACAATTGAGGGTTTTGCTTAGCAAATGCTTTGCTTAACAATCAAGTTGCCAGTCCCAATTGTGATTGCTAAATCAAGAGCAATACAGACTTCAGTAAGGTACTTTTACTGCTTATGAGGGATTAATATACTGGCAGATTCCTGGAAATTCTTAAGAAGAATTTCCCAGTTTCATTTATAGTGAATTGATGAAGATAGAGACTCTATGAGTGACTTCTTCTTCTCAGATTTCTCACCACTTAGGCGAAGTTGCCATTTATGAGATAAATGAGACCAAAAGGTATAACATCTATAAACGATGTAGAAAATAGCTCAACTTGCTATGGCATGGTATTAAAAGAAAAAACAGTGTTATGTATTTTTTGACAGGGATTTAATAACATGACATTTATGGTACAAATACATGTAAACTTCTCAAAAGACTTCTAATAATCCCATCTAAACAGCAATATTGCAGAAGGTGCGCCACCATGCAGCTTGGTGAATGTGGCTTGGTGGGCATGCAAAATCTCCATTCCCTCCCCACTCTGGGGCCAGCCAGAGGTGGTATTTGCCAGTTCTCCGAACTACTCAAACAATAAGTGTGATAAATACTTAGATACTCAAAAGGTGCAAAACACTGAAAACATAAAATTATAATCTTTCATTGGAATACAGATACTTAAAAATAACAAGCTACCTTAGTCAAGATGATAACAGCACAACAATGCTTTATAAAACTCTATAATAGAGAATAAATTCAGAAAATTTGGTCACCATTATATTAAGAAACGTTTTTCCAAGACTTTATTTTCATTGTATCATTTTGCAAATTAATATTGAATATGGATGTTTCAAATGTATTTCTTTTCAAGAATACTATTTATAATTATATATTTGCTTTTTAAAATTTATTGCTTTTTTAAGCTTCCTATTTAACTAATGATGTTTTAATTATTTTTGTAAAGTAAGCATTCTCAAATTCAGAATGCTCCAAAAACACAAAAAGAACTTCAACTAAACAAAGTTACTATTTTTTCCCTTTATGTTACAGACTTAATTAATGTGAAAGCCTCTAATATAAATACCTTCAAAAGAAAATTAAATTATGACTCATGGATCCCACTAGCTATTAGCAACTATGATCGTTTTTCTTTTTTAAAAAGTCTCTATAGAATCGTGCAAGCAATAGTATTTCCTGTGAGACTGCATGAAAGCGAAAGTTTGATTTTGAAGAAACAGGATAGTAAGAGTATTGATGCTTTTGGTGTGCAAGAAAACTCCTACGAATAATGTAAATAGCAATCGCATTTAGACTTATATACCGCTTCAGTGCTGTACAGCCCTCTCTAAGCGGTTTTACAGAGTCAGCATATTGCCCCCAATAATTTGGGTCCTCATTTTACTGACCTTGGAAGAATGGAAGGCTGAGTCAACCTAATCAAATAGCCAAGAAAACAACCAAATGGATCATCAGATAAATCAACTGACCAGGCTAAGACACTGAGCTTGTTGATCAGAAGGGTCAGCAGTTCAGCGGTTCGAATCCCTAGTATAGGTCTCCTGCGTGAGCAGGGGGTTGGACTAGTTGATCTCCAAGGTCCCTTCCAACTCTGTTACTGTTACCTGTTACCTTGGCTCAAATACTTTGGACACATTATGTGAAGCCCTAGCTTCCCAGAGAAGGCTTTAATACTGGGAAAGGTGGAAGGAAAAAGAAGAAGTGACCTTCAGTAACTAGGATTTGGTTAAAGTGGCAATAGGTGTGCCACTGAAAGATCAGGTTGGGATACCTGATCGTGGAGAAAATCTACCTATGGGCTCACTGAGATTCACAGTGACTTGATGATACATAATAATAATAATTTTATTCATTACTCAGAAACAATTATTTTTTTAAATTTAGTAATGTTTGCTGTTGCTGATCAATTTTGCAATCC